GGCGCCGGGCCGGGCGGGCGCCCGCCGGGTGGGCGGGGCCGGCTCGCCGCGCGGCCTGTCGCAAAGAGGATGGCGGCGCCCGTCTACCCGGCCTGGGTCACCCGCTGGGTCTCCGGACAGTGGCGGCAGAAGAAGCGGCCCCCGGCGATCCGCCCGACCCGGCCGCTGGTGTTGGCCAACAAGGTGGCGAACCGCAGGGAGCAGGCGGGAGGTGAGTTCCCGGCGCCAGGCCGTTAAACGCCCCCTCCCCGGGGAGAAACGGACGGGGGCGGGCGGGCCCCCCGCCCCTGCGGGGTAGACCTGCCGCCGTCGGGCCCTCAGCGTTGCTCCCGGGAGTCGTCCCACCACTGGCCGGCGGGAAGGGCTGCGGTGATGTCAGGGCTGGGTCGAGCTGGCGGTCGGAAGCTCCTTGTGCTCTGCAGGGCAGCGGAGGGGAAGGGGGTCTGGTTTGTGCCGTAGGGTTAGCACACGGGTTCTTTTGAAGAAGTTACTTCCTCATACAACAACCCTAAATTTGCATCTTGTGGTACTCTGTACGTGAATCATGCACGCGAAGTACTTTATTACATCTCAACATAGCATTTATCTTAAGAACTCAGCCAGTGGTTGGGTGGCTGCAATGGTGCTAATCTTTGTGCTAGCAACATCTTCTCTATGCAAAATGAAAGATGAGATCTTTATTTTAGTGTTGTTTTTTCTCACCTGCCTCAACCCCATCTTAAACTTCTCTCTGGAGATTTATGCACTGTGGAGGCTGTTAGCGTGATGTCCCCAACACCTGAGATTTTGGTTGTGTCTTTCCCTTCTAGAGGCAACATGCATTACGGAGATGTCGGTAATGATGGCCTGCTGGAAACAGAATGACTTCAGCGATACAGCTTGCGCTGAGGAGATCCGGATGTTCTATGACTGCGTGGCAAAGGCAGAAGTAATTAAGGCCTCTTTTGCGTTCTTAAAGGCTGGTAGTAGGAAAGGACAAAGCCCCCAGTCGTTTTTTGTGTGCCAACAGTAATAATGTTCTCTGAACAGTTTGATTGGTGTTGTAACCCATTTGAGCTGTAGGAGAGATGCAGGATGATGTAGATCAAACATGCAGTCCTTCCTTTTTGAATGCAGAAGTTAAATTAAATTAGAATTAAAATGAAGGACTGTAGGAAGGGACTGGATGTTTGGTATGTTCTAACTAAGGATGAAACAATAGTCACATCCAGTCCTTTTTGGGTTGTCAAATTCTTGAAGTAGACTTCAGCCGCTGTCAACTGACCCTAACCTAGGCCATTTATTTTGATTTCTTCCAGTTTTTAATCTCTAAACTTTCAGCACTAATGAAGCAATAACACTCACTGCTCTTCTCCATAGTACATGATAGTTCTGAATGAGGGAGAGTACGATTTGGAGCTGTTAAGTAGAACAGTGATTTGTATGGTGCGAGATGTGGATTGCATTGTAAATGGGGAGATGTACAGTGTAGGTAAGTTTCCGCAACTGCTCTGATTCATAAAATTAAGAAATAGCTGACTCGGGTACCAATCCAATACTTGCATTATCTAGACAGTGGGGGTGTGTCTAGATAAAGTCTGTCATAAATCTGTATATAGTTCTGTGCTTGCGGGGGTGAGAAATAACCAGTGGTTTCAGTAATCCTCATAACAAACAGAATTTTCAGGATACATGAGGTAGTTTACAGCTATTCTCCATTCTCTGAAAATTAGGAGTTCTTTTAGGCTGTTTCTGGCTTCAAAGGCTAGATGTTTCCTTGAAGAATAAATTTCATATTGTCTGGAAATTAGAGGTTTCCAGCTATATGATAACCTTGAAATCAAGTCAGTTGCAAAAGCAGACTAAAGGTAAGTATATGTACTAAACTTGTCCTTAAACTGATTTTGAGTTTCAGTCTTTTTTCAGTAACAGTACCATCATTTAATGAATAGTTATTTACTGTTGCTCTTTGACAGCAAAAGTGAAAAATGGTCCACAATTTATTTGGTAGATTACAAAGAATCAAATTCAATAACAGAAAGTAAAAAGAAAAAATCTGAGTTGTTACTATAAGTATGTAATATTGTTAACTAAGAATGTGGAAGAATGTAATCTTCACAAGATGTCAGTCAGTCATTAATTACATCATTTAAAGGTCATCAGCTTTTGAAAGCCTTGTGATTATTGAGCCAAGTGTTCCTTAAAGAAATAGCATTCTTCTGAAAGAAACATCCCAGTACAATTAGTAGTAGTCTTTGGGGGCGAGCGTCAGCTCTGCAAATAAACAGAGGTAATATTTTGAGGTTTCTTTTTCTCTTTCAGAAGGAGCGCAAGGATCAAAATGCGGAGACCCTGTCACCCAGGGGAAGCTTAACTTCAAGCAAAGTGAATAAGCTCCTGAGGAGGTTTCCTCAGATCACACATTATGTATAATGTGCTTTACTAAAGGGACTGCGGACAAGCAATTAAAGTTGGAGTCTTTCGCAAAAAAGTGAAAAGTAGACTTGAGTGAGTATTTGATGTCAAGTGTTACCCATCAGCACTGCTGTATGGATCTTGACTGCACCTTTGTTTCCAGAGCGGAAAACACCCATCTTGACCATCAGCTGATTTTGTTCATGAGGTTCTTGGGTCTTAGGGTCCTAGGATTTCTGCGGTATGTTGTTCAACTAGCCGCAGTGTGGAGTCAGGTCCTGACTGTGAAATAAAATCTTATAGGAATGCATGTAAATGCCTTTTCTAACAGTTAGGGGGTGACTTTTCCTCATGTATAAGCTTCTGCCTAACTTCTGAGCTGCTATCAAAAAGTGCTCAGGCCCAGACATTGAGCCAACTTAAAATTGATAGTAATCTCATGGCTCATACTCCTACATGTACGTATACACAGTTTGGTTCCTCTCGAAATTTTTTTAATTCCTGCTGCTGTACAAGAAGGCTGTAGAATGAGGAAGAAATCTCCAGCAAAATACCTTGTTAATACACAATACGTTGGTAAGGATCAAATACAACTTTAACATAGAAGCTTGTGAATTAAGCTCTCTGATTGCAGGTGGGACAGGTATGGTGCCATGTCAGATTGATTATGTTGTCTGTACCATAATAAAATAATGCAAGACTGTTGTTTGGTGTGGGTGACTCATAATCTACAACAAAATATTCCATTGTTTTGGTAAAAAAACTAAAAGGGAGAGAAAAAGTTCAAGCATGGACTGATACTGAAATCATGTAATTAATTGCTGGGTTTGATTTGTTTGGGGTTTTTTTTCACTAGAGTACCACAAAACTGCAGGCAGATCCCTGTTGTTTTAGGACCAGTACCTAACTGGTAAGAAATACGCAGTACCTCAGAATGCTAATGATAAAACCATTTATATCGCTAATTCTTTGGGCCGTAAAGAAAAAGCAGAGGAGCATCAGGCACATACACACTGTGTGATTACCCACATGTGACTGTAGAGTTTGCATGGAGCTGGAGCTGACTTCTCTGGAGCCCCAGGCCAATACCTGTTCATCACATAAATATTGATCAAGTGTATGCTTTCAATTTATTGAAGCAATTTTAATTTACCTGTTACTTAAAATGGCTCATTAGTGGGTAATCCCACGGGGTAGCTTATTCTGTTGTTGCTATTATGGCATAATTGGGTCTTTCAGAGGGCTTGGGGTCAGTAGGAACGTGATGTCCACATCTAAGTTTGAGGAAGCACTTTGGTTCTATGACATTTTGCATTTTCAGTCCAAAAGACGTTCTCTGAAAAGGAGCAACTTGCTGATTCTTTGTTTCTGAAGGAGACAAGCTAAGTTGGGGGTGAGGAACCGATGAACACTAAATTCACTTCTGTTGATGATGTTTTTTTCTTTCTTTGTATTAAAACTTATAAGTATAGTTTTGCGCATCTTAAGCTAGCAGCTGTGCTAAATGTACCAAATTCTAGTATCTGTGAAGAACTGTCTCATCAGAGAAACTAATACTTTTTTGTTGTATTTTTACTTTTGAAATTTTGCGCAGCTCCCACTAATCTGGACAGCTATTTTTGGATATTACTGCTTCACAGTGAACTTCACAAGTTCAGTTTTTTGGGATTTTTTCTGAACTTTTACATGTCTTCTGTAAGCTTGAAATTACTATGCTAAGGTTTTCCAGTCCTTAAAGGAATGCATTTATTTGGAGGAAGAAGGAAGGAAAGAGAATGCTTTTCAGATGGATGCAGGTTTTACAGTGCTGCTTTTAACAGTACTCTAGCAGTTCTTTCGGCTCAGGATCCCATGCTGCAACCAGAAAAAACCTCCAGTTACTGATTGTCCTTGGCAATTTGAGCTGCTGCCTTTTCCCTGTATCTCACTGTTATGCTTATATTGGGTGTTTAAACACATTCTGTGACATGCTCATGTTGGTGATCATTCCATTAATAGTTCGTGTGCGTAACTGCAGTGAATGACACTGTCCTCTCTGAGTTCAGGGCTTGTACCACCCCATGATGCTGTTGCTGGGGAATAAAAGAACACTGGGTTCTGGTGCTGAGCCCACTGTTTAAGAACATTGCTGCAGAGACCTGTATGTGATTGCGTGGTGGGGAAAGAATTAAACAAAAGCTGACTAGCTGTTCTACTCTCCTAAGTCGGATTTACAGGATTTAAGCAAATCTGCTGGAATTCCTTGATCTTATTCCTGTTCCTTACAGTTTGAGTATTATACCAGCTCTGGGTATGATTGCTGTTAACTGCCTCTCTTTTTAGGCTTTCACTGAAGATCTCTTGTGGAGGAAGCATTGATGTTTCAGCTGGTTTTGATGAATAGTAGTCCTGCCAGTTCAGGAGAAATAGGTTGAATTCCAGAGAGCCAAGAACATTTTAGAAGATGGTACTTCTTGTTCGGAAGCGTCAACACAGAATAATCTGGAAAAATCAAGACAGACTCTGTAGGGAATCATAGGCTTACTGTTATAGAACTGTGCTTATATCAAGGTGAGAAGGTGATTTGTGTTAAATAGTGGACTTGGGTATTTACAGCCATGTCAAACTTGCTCACACAGGAAAGTTCAAGATCTGTTTTACCTTATCTTCAGATACGTTACCTATCTAAACTGCCATAGTTATATTGGTATAATTTCCTTCTTGGTCTTCCTTTCCACCTTGGAGAGGGCCATGTAGCCATGAGAAGCTTTTGAGAATCTGAGTTCCATCTCTCTCAAGAAAATGTCATTACCTGTGCCAGGAAACCAGGGGGAGTCTTGGCAAGAAGGAAACAGTTCCAAAAGAGGACCCGCCACAGAGGAGACAACTGCAAAACCCACTACATCTTCGCACGGTTTGTCATTCCTCCAGAAACAATACCAAACTTGGACTTCTGTTGCTTTTGGTGCACTGGTCTGTGTTTCCTTTAAAATCACTTTATCTAGGAAAGCCTTGCCTTGAGAGGGAAGCAACTTAGAAGCTACTGTGAGAGAAATCCAGTACAGGCTTTTACTAGAGGTTTTAAGCCCTATTAGTATGTGTCAGAGGGCTAAAATAGGTGAGTGTCTTATGGGAGTTCTGAAGGGGCATCAACGACTTCTCTACTCCTGACTAAGAAGCAGGTTTCTCTGAATGCTATTAGATTTTCTGTTCATGCCTCCAGTATATCCTTTCCTTGTGTTTTCACTGGAGTAAGTGGTTCTAAATTCCAACACATTCCCATACTTTCATTTTGTTTTGCTCTTTTTTTGCCAGTGCTGCCTGAGAGTTGCAGCGTGCTGTAGCATCTAAGCTATTTTCATCCTCTGTTGCTCTGATCATCTGCCTCCCTCGCTACGAGGATACAGGAGATTTGCTCCTAATTAACTGAGTGTAATTCTGGGCCAAATCCAGTGTCCAGAATGCAATGTGGTACAAATCCACTCCAGAAAGGTCTCCCTCCTAGCACTCAGCGACTCCTCTAGAAGATCCAGCATGTAGTGGAATTTCCTTGCATTTGGTGAGTGACTGAGGATGAGGCAACACAAAACTGTCATGTGAAGTGAGTAATGGGGCAGTAAGTGAGGGAAGAAATAGAGGCTTTTTGTCAAGCCAATGGATTTTTATCAGCCCTTTCCTTGTTTCTATGCTGAAGGTGTCTTCAGAAATGCTGCTCAGCAGACTTGGCCAAAGGTGAGCTCATTTCTTAAGGTGACCTTCATGTTTCATGCTGCAGAACACCAGGAGTTAATCCCTCCAAAATCAGAATATAAATACGGGAAATGTCCATTAGACTGGGCTAATGGAGGGAAAGTGTAAAAAAATTTTGAAAAAGTGTAAAAAAAGAGTGAACAGCTTTAAATGGACCCATTCCCTTCTTAGATTTAATAATGTTAGAAACTTATTGTAGCCTCTAAGCCTAATTCATATGAAGGGGCAGTAGGCTGAAAACACTAAAAAACCCCATAGGATTGTTCATTGCAATACAATAATGATCAACCCTCTGGAAAGCATCTTAGCCAATCGAGAGAAAATAACTTTACAGCCCAAGGTCAAGGAGACGCTTGCTGGAAAAGATCTCTGGAGGCAATACCGGTGATGGCGAGATGCAGGGCTGAAAACTGGGAATGCACCCTGGAGAGGGCTGTGCCACCTGTGGGGAAATCTGGAAGTTGCTTAATGCGAAGTTTTCTGGGTCCCGTTTACCTGGGTTCAAATCTGCGGAGAGTTTGACCTCAGGAAGCTGCAGGCGGCTAATCGAGGAGGCAGCGGTGGGGGGATAAAGTCCAGATTCCTTCCAACAAGTCTAATCTCTGGCAAGTGTGCGCACACAAGCCGTTTCCTTTCCCAGTTGTGTTGCTGGAGGTTTTGCGGTAGGATACGGCCCCGGGTCCCCGCCGTGGCCGCAGCCTTTGCGCCTCGGGGAGAGAAGGAAGAGGCGGCTGGAAGGGGGAAGGAGGCATTGCAGGAGAGGAGAAGAGGGGAGGGGAGAGCGGCGAGCCCAGGCGCTGGGTAGGCAGGGGCGGAGAGGCGGAGGCTGGCCCCGGGGAGAAGCGCGTACCTGGAGCGGGCAGAGAGGCCGGGGGAGAGGGGGGGAGGGAGGGGACAGCGGGGTGCGGAGCGGGTTGAGGGCTGCGCCCCACCCGCCTGCGCGGCCGCCTCCCGGTTTGAAGGGTGCTCGGGAAATTCTGGGGCATGTTCTCCGCCCTTCTCTCTCCTCTTTTTCCCCTTTCCGAGGAGAAGAAGCAAGAAGGCATGGGGAGAGGAAGGGGCAAGTGAAATTCTAAGATGCTGCCGGGAACTTTGATCCCTTCCTTCAAGTCCCTTTCCCCGCACAGAGATGGAAGAGGCTTCCAGCTCCCTCCGGTGGGGAGCGGCTAGTGCCCTGCTCCCGGGGAAACCCAGCTGCAGAGCCCGGGCGGGAGGCAGCTGCTGAGCCCGGCAGCTGAACGAGCATGTGATGCTTGAAGAAGCTTCTGCCCACTTTGCGCACAGGGATGGAGATCCCCAAAGTGCTCGGGCTCCTGGTAGAGCTCTCGAACCTGTTCTCCTGTCTCAGATGTGCGGAGGTAAGAAATGGTTATTCTTCTATCTGCTTGTAAGAAGTCACATGGCTCTTTTAACAGCCTCACTGTGAGTGGATCTTGTTATTGCTTGAGTGTGTTTTCCAAAGCGTCTAGGCAGCTGTGGTCTCTGGGAAGGGCTTGGGGAGGGATTTATTTCGTTGTGCATATGAAATTCAGAAAAGGAAACAAAGCAGGAAAGCAGGATGCACAAGGGCTTGCAGATGCTTTGGCTCCAGTTTCCTATGTTTCTCAGGCGCTGCAGTGACCCTGGCAGGAGAGATCCTTTGTTTCTGTTCTTTGCTGATTGACTGATTACCCCGATTGCTGTTGTGGACAGATGATTTATAGCCACAGGGACCTGGGGCAGTGACTGCAGCACAGGCTGTTTGCACTAAAATTTGGTGGTGGCGATGGTCAGCGTTGGGGGATTTGGTAGCTGCTGCGGGAACTGGCAGCAACTAATTTTCATTAGAAGGGAAGCATATTACTTGGATTGCAGTTCTTTCGTTTATGGTCCGTCTCCAAGAAGAGCAGGTTCAGGCTTTCATAAATAGCCTGTTATTAGTCCAACCCATCCCTCTACCACCTGCAGGCTCACATGTGCATGCAGGTCCACACTAAAAGCTAGGAGTCGGGGGACTTGGATTGTGGCTCTGTCACCTGTTTGGTGCAGTCACAAAAGTGTAGTTTAGCTCACTTTCCTCGCTTTGCAAAGAGCTTTGAGATCCTCAGATAAGTCCTTCAGCATTGTTGGTTCATAGACTATTATGTTGGGCTTCCAACGGCCTGATACATGCAGATAGATGGATTTTTGGCTGAAAAGGGTTTTTCAGTTAAATGCTGGTTTATCTGTGCATCCCCTTGTGCATACACACCTGAGATCTGATCTGCTGTTCTGAACCATGGCAGGAATTCATCTTCAATGCGCAGTGTCACATTTTGACTTCTAGAGGGTGATGCTCGAGCTTGACCGTGATTGTCAACACCCGCTGGACCATAATCATAAGCTCGATTTGAAAATGGTATCTGCCATGAGTAGGTGTCATTCTTGTCAGGTATCTATGGGAACTATCCCTGCTTATTCCAGCAGCGGATTTGGTTTAATTCCAAATTTTACTCTTCTCCTTTTCCAGGGAGAGGTGAAGCTGAGAGAAGCAAAATTTTGAAGAAAACCAGAACCATTTCCAATAGCTAGTATTCTTTATATACACACCTCCGCTCTGTGAATTACAGCTCCGTGTTCATATAAAAGTATTAGAAATGTTAATTAAAAAGTATTTAGAAATGAGGTAAACTACAAGGAGCTAGCAGAAGCATGTACAGTTTCTTCTTTTCACTCTGGGTCTGTGAAAATCTGGCACCTACCTGCACACTATGTAATGGTGTTGAGGGGAGATCCCTATCTCTCAGCCAGCAGCCAAGTTACAACCACCAAAAACACTGCCTATAAGAGGAAATGCAGTTTTGGGGCTGGACAGGATACTGGAATTCTGAGGGCTTTGTTCCATATTTTTTGTTCTTAGCTATTTAACCCCATTTGGATAATAATACCATAGGCCATATCATATTCTCACGTATTAAAACCAAAATCCTCAAAAAAACCTTGTTGTATTTTCTTCTTTAGGTGTTTCCCATGTTGTACATGGATGTTTATTACTATTTTAACAGGGATCCCTGGGGGTATCATCCTATCACGTAGATTTATCTGTTTGCTGCTGTGGCCATAGATGACTTCCCTACAAACGGAGAGAGAATGAGTGGTTATTAATTATTTTTCTTACTGGTAACAATTATTTTCTTTCCATAGGCATCTCACTCAGGCTTCCAATTCTATTGGAAAAGAACAAGCAGAACTGTAATGTAGTGCTTAGATCAAGGGTAAATCTCTGCAGGCCACTAATTCTTAATTTTGCTGTTAGTAGGAAGACCTGTGATTGGATTTGAAGAGAAGCAATGGGGAGAGTGGGGAAGAAGCTGGTTACTAGGGTGTGTTTGCCTAAAGCAGCAAAAGGCTGAGATGCTTTTAGGACATGCCCATGTTTATTTCATCGGATAATCATCTCTCTGCTTTTGCTCTGTTTCTTTTCCCAGGCTTTCCTGGGATCCCAGCCCAATAAAAACCATTTGCAGAGTGCAGGTAAGAACAAGAAGTTATTAATTCAGTCATCGGGCAGATTCTTTCCTGCAGTGGTGATCTGAGACCATAGGTACGATGAACCACTGCTACCTGGTGTTCTTCCTTTCTTTCCATAACTTCTTCCATCTTTTCTCCTGCCTCAGTGCCTGTTTATCTCCTTCCCAATATGGCCAGACCACTTTCTTTTTTTCATGTCTAATACTCTTGCAGTTCTCTACTCCTTCCACATGTTCTTTTCCTTTCATCTCTTTCTCTGCCTCAGTCTTTTTTGTATGCTCACCTTTCCTCTGCTCTAATAACTAATGAATTCTCATTCACCCCACCTCTGAGGCTTCCAGCTGATGCAAAGCACATGGTGTGTTTTCCAGACACCTACCTGTAACTGCTTCTCATTTTTATACCTTGCAGTTGACCTTCAGCTCTCACTAACACCCTCTGGGCTTGGCAGCAGCTAGAAGGCAAATGGCATGAGCAAAAGTTTCTTTGTACCCTTGCTGTTTGCCCTACGTGTCTGTATGGCAGAAGGGTTTTCTGAAAGTGTCAGCTTCTTTTTGTTTATTCAGTGAACAGAGCTATAACTGTTATCCCTTTCTGAGTCTCTCTTCCGATTTTATGGACTCTAAAAAGCTCACTCTCACAGAGTGTCTGGTTCTGGTTTCCCTCTCTGTTATTTCAGGGTCATGACCGTATTAAATTAATCGTTGAGGTTTCTTTGCATGAGATACTTCACATGGGCACTGGCCTGGAACATTGGCATCTGCACCCCCCCCCAAATAGGTTCCCTTTCCCTTCCTATACATTGGCCATGTTCAGATAAGACAGGTGATGTGCTAATGTGTATAGGGAACACACATACAATGAAATACAATGTCATTTCCCACCTGCCTACTTTATAGAATGAAATTGTAGCTAATTTTAAACACTTCTCAGTTTTGATCAATTTAGACAGGCAATTAATCTTCTAAAGAGCCTAGGATCAAATGTAAGAGTATCTAATTCAGGTGCCAAAGCAGGTGAGGAAGGAAGTGGAGGAGTGTGTGCCAGACTCAAGTGCTGCTCCAGAGTAAGTGAATACATCTATTGAAATAAACGGTAATGGGAACTGGTTCAAATTGTCTGTGTTTGGGCCCAGAGTTAACACATTTCAAAGGCCTGTCTGGGCAGTTCATGACGTTCAGATCAATTTCTTTTTTAGATAGTGTGTATTATAAACATTCTTTGAGCAGCTGCCTTGAAGAGTGGTAGAACTGTAATCAAGCAAGTAGCAATGAAGACTGCAGAGAGGGGAGGTGTTTCAGGAGATCAGCTGGTATCTCCCATATTGTCTAAGCCTCTGTGTGTGTTGCCTTAAGTGATGCTGACAGCTCCCTTCCTGTGCCCAGCATCCAGCGTGTGTGGTGTCGGACCTCTTGGGTATTACAATGGCTCGCTGGCAGTCACTGAGGCCGGAGCAGAGTGCCTCAACTGGGCAGAGTTCCCCGATTATGTTCAGCAGTACCCAGACCGTGGCTTGGGGGACCACAATCACTGCAGGAACCCAGATGGGGGAACTACACCCTGGTGCTTCTACCGGCTTGCGTCAGGGGCCATCGGCTGGGCTAACTGCGACTGTAATCAAGGTAAGGACTGCTGCGTGTCTCTGCCGGCACCCGGAGTGGGTGCACGGTCTCAGGGGGCTCAGGCCAGAAATGCGTGCTGCGCAGACTTGCAAGCAGCAGGTGGGACACCCTGTGAAAGAAGTGTAGTACAATAGCTGTCCCAAATTGTCGAAATAGTTAGGACTAGACACTAGCCTGTGTGGGAGAAGAACGTCTGTATACAGCAGGGGGTGGATTTAAGCTGCTGTAGTCATAATGCCTTGTATAGATGTTTTTATTCTCATACAAGGAAACTTTTTTTTTTGCTGTTAACTTACGCCACTTTGAAAACAGTTTAAGATATGTGGAAAACAACCCACTCCTGCTCCTTAAGTGTCCATATCAGAACTCTCCTCATGTAAGCGTAGCAGTTCAAATATAACAAGGAAGAATCTTCTGTGGCTAGCTTTGTAAATCTTCGGTGGCAAGGTAGGTCATAAGCTTGCTTTAAAATTCCTTGCAGTGCTGACAAAAGGACTGCTGCTTACTTTGAGGCATGCAAGGGAGCTGAGCTCTCTCAATACACTGACTCCAGCGCAACATTCTTGAAAACATTTTGTTTGGCCTCCTGTTTTCTGACCTTCTTCGCTTTTCCCACATTTTGCAGAACAGATGAAATACCAGTTTAATAAACAAAAGGAAAAAGTCTTTCCCCTTGCCAGTGGAAGTGCTTTCAAAGATGGATTCATTAAAGTGAAGGATACAAGTGTAGCTGTGCTGCATGCCTGCATTGAGGTACTAGAGACAGAAGGTGTAGCCTTCTCCCAATACATAAGTGAGTGAGGAGATGTGCTTTCTAAACAGTGGTAGGTGTTTGTGGTGCAGTGGGAATTGAAAGGGCATTTACATGGCACTTGCTTTTCTTGGAGAAATTAAAGAGGATTCACCTGCTGTTACTGAACATCTAGCTGTAGCAACAGTGACTCTCATAGGTGAGGTGGCCAATCGAAACTAAATCAGTGGAGTGTTAGAAGGAATTAGAGAGCCTGCCATTTCCATACATCTTTTCAAGGCAGCATGTAAAATAATCCCCATTTCACAGAAGGAGAATCCAGGAGCTGTGGCAGAAGCCAAGTTTCCTGCCGATATTACCATGGATTTGAAAAGAACGTAGCACCAGCCATCCTCCTGAGCAGCCGTTGCTGGAACTGGGAAGGTGACATGTCCCATGCTTCTTCACTCAAGTCACTTCAGTGACAGCATCAGCAAAACAAGGATGGGAGAAGCCAAGTGCAGTTCAGCTCAGCTACATGCAAGTCCAAGACTGGCTGACTTGCTAGTCTGAAACATCCATCAGAAGATAGCTTTTTTTTTCTCTCTCTTTTGGAAGGTGCTGTGCGGTTAGCTGAAGATAATAGTGTGGAGCTGTACTTCAATGGACTCTGGGGCACCATCTGTGCTGACCACTGGACTGACTGGGATGCCAGCGTTGTCTGCAGGCAACTAGGTCTCAGGTGGGAACCTCAGTCTAACTGCAAGAGTTACATGCTCATGTGGCCTTTGAAAGAACAGCCCCTGTGGTTACAGTCCCTCTAGTGTAGTGCTGGGGGAGAGGAGTTCATTTTGTGGGCTCATTTCCCACTTGCCAGGGTCCTTTTGTACTGTTTTCTTTACATGGCTATGCCCATCCCCAATCAGCATTTGCAAGATTTTTTTGAAACAGTAGTTTGTACTTGGTGCTCCAGACTATGATGAGTGAGCTGTGAGATCGTATTCCCTTTTTAGTATTACCAGCTGGAGTTACTGTAATAATCTAATAGAAATTTTGAGAGCATGAACCCTCCTTGGGAATCTGGGATTTGGACCTTCAAGATTCCAAACAGCAAGGAGATAAGGACCACAGAGGAGGAAGAAGGTGATTCAGATATTTGGATGTTTGAGTCTGTTGATGGGTTTGTTCACCACTCTCAAACGAGGGTGCCATTTCTGACCAGATCAACTCCTCTACAGTAAGTAGGAAGACAAAATGGGTTAGATGGTAGGAATTGCTTTGTGTTTGCTTGTGCTTTCCCATTAGACTGTAAATGGACACCCCTCTATGCACTCCTAATCAACTGGGCTCACTGGGATGTGAAATGGCACAGTTGGACTGGAGAGTCACAAGAACTGAGGGGAACTCGTAAGTCAAGCAGTGCTATGGCATTTCCATTGCTCTGTTGTGTTCTCTGTTCCAGTGAGATCGGCACAGCTGGGAAGAAGAGTCATCTCAGACTGTGGCCTGTTCCCCTGCACCTGCAGTCAGCAAACTGCCATGGGGATGAGAAAGCCCTGCTGCAGTGTGGCTATCGGGAGGCTGTGTCAGGAGCTTGTAACCAGGGGAGTGCCATGGTAACCTGTGTCCCTCCAGAAGGTAAATCTGCAGAAGAGGTTTGCTCCCTGTTTCTTGCATTAGTGTTGCTGATAAGATGTAAAATCTAAGGTCATGAAGCTGTGGAGAGCAAATCATTGGAGCATGTTCTTTTTTCACCTGCTATACAGGTGGTTATCTTCCTTCCAGTGGAAAATTATCCATCCTTTCCCAATCCTAAATACTCAGAGTGGGCATACTTCTACAATCACTGAAAGATGGCTGTTGCTTATGACCGTATCCCCTTTTTATCAAACCAGGTTTTTGTCTGCAGGCAGCAAAGTCTTAGTCACCGTAGCAGCCAGTTAAAGAGCCATCCCTGGACCAGCAGTACCCCATACTGTGGGCTGCAATCACAATGCTTCTGGGGGGTCTAGAGGGGAGGATGTGGTAGGGTGGGATGAAAGCATCCCAAGAGCTCCTCTGGCTGGTGAATGGTTCTACACCCTGAACTGCTGGATGTGCTTTGTCTCTTTCTTGTTCTGCTGTGCTCTCTTTCCCTTTCTTGAAGCACAGGTGTTGGTGCCCCACTGCGTTTAGTTGGGGGAAAGGAGAGCTTTGAAGGGCGAGTGGAGGTTTACCATGATGGCAAGTGGGGTACCATCTGTGATGACCAGTGGGATGACCGGGATGCTGAAGTGGTCTGCAGGCAGCTGGGACTCAGGTAATTTCCCCGTTGTATGTCACAGAGTGGTAATAGAAGTAGGTAGAACAAAGAACATGAAAACATGTCCCTTCACTATAGTACCAGCCCTTTCTATGAGAGGTATACAGAAACCCTGGGAAAGATAATTCTGGACTGATCATCCTATAAAGGGATTTTGTACTTAATTCCTGTCAGTCTTATGGGTTTATGCTGTGAAAAAAAGAGTTGGTGCATCCCTATCTAAGGTTTGTTTGTGTTTATCCCTGTTCATTATTTTTGCACACATGTCCTAATGCAAATCTTCTTGGCCTCAGTGATAACTTGTCATGGTGATTTTCATACATGAAATGCAGTTGCTTACTTGGTTAAGTTTAAACACCTCCAGTTTCACTGACTGCTCTTATCCTCTTCAAACAGGAAAGCAAGAGATCACCTCATTCTCCTGTGTGCCATTCAGTGCTCAACATGGGAGCTGTTGTATACTGAGCATTCTTGAAAATCACAGCAGTACAGAATTGTTTAAAATAGATGATTCAAATTTGAGATCCCTCAAACTTTGGGAGTTTTGCCTGTTACTGAGATTGAAACATCATTGTCCTCAGAACTCACCAGGTGTCTGAACAGTTCATGTTGCAGGCACTTTTTTTTGTTATGTGTTGGAAGGTCTCGTTACAAAACTTTCTAACAGATTTTGGTTAACAGTTGGCAACACCACTGTATCAGAAATACAGATTATCTATGGGAGGACACTGACCTAGCATAGGAGAGTGCCTGTGCAAGGCAGAATCTGAGGGCACAAGACTGTGACCTTCCTTACTGAGCATATGTATCTGTAATGTTTGCAGTGGGAGCGCAAAAGCGTTGTCGTGGGCTCACTATGGGCAGGGATCTGGCCCAATCCTGCTGGATGAGGTGGAGTGCTCAGGCAATGAACTCTCACTTGACCAGTGCAAGAAGAGTGACTGGGGACAGCAAAACTGTGACCACATTGAAGATGCTAGCATCTCCTGTGACCCTTTCACAGGTACAGATCTACGGCTCTATGCCAGTCAGATGTGGCCGGTCTTACTCCCATATTACGTGGCTTGCTCAGCAGATAACCCCCCTGCTTCAGGATCCTGCAGGTCTTCTATGTATGGCTCCCACAAGGGCTGCCATAAATGGAGGCAGAGAGCAAGCAGCAGGTGGGAGTGGATCAGAGCCAAGCTTGGTGGTGTTCCCATGGCTTTCCACAGGTGGCATGGAAAGGCTGAGGTGAATCCTCCCCTGACAGATGGACATGTTTGAGAGCAATGAATGTTTGGGTTTTTGAGTACCTACAGATATCTGTGTCGTTGGTTTCTCTCACTCATGGGCTGTACAGAGACTTCAGCAGTGGGCTCAGGCTGTTTCTTTTCTCCCCTGCTGAGTGCTGACCTTTCCTTCTCCCACCCTTTGCAGAGGGCACTGTCAGGCTGGCTGGTGGCCGCAGCCCCAGCGAAGGCAGGGTAGAAGTTTATTACAACGGAGACTGGGGCACAGTATGTGATGATGGCTGGACAGACCTTGGTGCCCAGGTGGTCTGCAGGCAGCTGGGCTTCAGGTAGGACTGAGAGTGTGTGTAGTGTCTGTGCTTCCTAATTTCAAGGATTAGATTCCATCACCCTTCACTGGGATAGGCTGGACCTTAATCCTTCAATGCTTTCTTTGTTAGAAGGGTTATTACCATTATACAGCTTTATTCAGGAAAGATTAATAGGTACCCACATCCTTTCCAATGGGGGGGAATCTGTATTATCTCTTGCCTCAGCCTGTTTTGAAAGCAGATAATGGGCTTGATACTGTCTTTATGAACCCCTCACCAGAAAGCTCTCTTAACACTCCTTAAATTTGCGTGTGTTTCTCAGCACTGCCACCCTCTCTGCTCTGCCAGCTAAACGGTATCACCCATCTGCTCTCTCAGCTAAATGTATCACCTGCTTCAGCAGTTGAAGGAAGACCATCAGGGCAAAAAAGAGTAGTAGTAGGGATTTTTGTAATGCTTTTCTTTCAGCCTGTTGCTGAACTGTCGTCCCTCCAGGTATGAGTTTGAGGAAGATTTAAAATCAGGATACTGTAGTCTTGGAGCCAGTAAAGTGTTTTTTGTGTGTGGATTTTTTAATATGATTAGGGTATCTTTGTAAAATTTTAGCTTTATAGACTGAAAAAAAGACTGAACTAAATTCTTGTCTTCGAGTTCAGCTGCATACTGTGTTTGTCATCTCTTGCAGTGCCTAAATGTTTGCAGCTTTCTGCATTTCAATTCCAGGTAGATGCTTCCTATAAAAAGAAGTAGAATTACTTAAATGCTGATATTTTTGATGCCTCCTCTGCTAGCCCATCCCCAGATTGATGTACCTGGTGTCATGTCTGCAAAGCAGCATCTGTGGTATATCTGTCCCTTTGACCAGACACTAGAAAATGAACTGGTCTGAGCTGGCCACCCCGAAAACTGAAGCTGGCAAGATGTGCAAGCTGCTTGATTGCCATCCTGTGTGTCACTGAGTGGTTTAGGTCAGGAGGCCACCGATATCACAGCTGGGCTCTGCAGGGGAGTTTTCCTTTGAGTCTGAGCTTGGGTCCCTCTGTGGGATTAATGAGTTTTAATGAATCTGATGTTACGTTCTGTTTCCTTCCACTAGTGGTCCTGCTACCCTGGCCTCTGAAGGGGACTATGCTGCTGGCCAAGGCTTTATCTTACTGGATGATGTGGCTTGTGCGGGGACAGAGCTGTCCCTCCTGGACTGTCCCCACAGCAACTGGGGGCAGCATGACTGCTCACACGCTGAGGATGTGGGAGTCCGCTGTTCCCCAGAGAGCAACACAGTCATGGATGGCAGCCTGGGTAATTCACCTTGCCCCTTGCCCTGGACAGTGGGGAAGTGTCACCTGCTGATCTGTTCCTTTGGAAGGTCTGGCAGATGTGGGATTTTTCCCTGTGCTGTTCCAGTCAGGAGGCTGCTTTTTGAGAACTCCTACGAATGAGCCCTGGCTCTTTTGGGGCAGAGCCACAGAGCTGTGGTTCCACCAGACGTATGGCCAGAACTGCAGAGAAACTGAAACTGGAGAGAATTGTGTTGGCAGTCTCTAAAACAAACCTGAGGGGCTGAGGAATGGTGGCTGCCTTAGTGTGCCATTGCTCACCGACGAGATGCTTCAGCCCTGTGTCTGTGGGAACACAGGACCCCTTTAACTAGACCCTTTAGGAAAATGGTATAGTTACATTAGTGTCACACCTTGCCAAGATAAGAGGACTTCTGATGCAAGGGGCTGTTGTGTGGAAATTTGCACTCTCCTGTGTGGATGGCACACTTTTAATTAAAATTGTGAATGTATTTCAAGTTAGCATAATTTCCTCATTTATATGAGGCCTGATACTCTCCCCTTTCCCTACTACAGGAGACTTTTTCCATTTTGTCAGACAATTTTTTATTGAAATAGATGGCATCCAATTTTTTTTGTTTTTCCTGGATGTAGAAATCTTCTCTTGCTTGGAATAATGTAATAGGTTTATGATTTAATGGATCTCTTTCGCAGGCATGTTTAAGCTTGTCCACTCTTGCCTCAGGAGTTAATAACTCTCCTTCTGTTCTTGTTCTCCTCTTTACTCAGCTTTCAGAATACGATCCACTAATGATTTCCAGTATGTATTAAATAAATTAATAGCTATGTAGTCTTCTGATTCAGCACAGAAGTGAAATGTCTTCATATAGAAACACTCCTGTTTTTCTTTTTTCTTTTTTTTTAAGCTTATTGATATCTGGGATTCATCTTTTCCTATAGAACCCAAGTTCTGGGCACTTCACTTTCTGGTGCTTTTGCTTGCAGTGACCCACATGTTTTCTCCTGCAGGGCCTCCTGTGCGGCTGGTGGATGGAGAAAGCACCAAGGAGGGACGGGTTGAGGTATTCCTGAATGGGCAGTGGGGCAGTGTCTGTGATGATGGCTGGACAGACAGAGATGCTGCAGTGGTTTGCAGGCAACTGGGATTCAGGTAAGAGGTCTGGTACATGCATCTTACAGATCCAAACAGCTCTCAGGGGAATTGCTTCTTTCTGGACCTCTTTCTGGGGGCTTCATTTCTTAGTTTTGGCATACCCACCTATGCATGAGGGAGTAGGGTCCTATTCTTACTGTACTACTGTCTGTGTGTGGAGTGACACATAAATACTATTTCTCTTAAAATGTGCTGGTCCATCAGGTTCACCTGCCTCCTGCTTACTGCAGATTAGCCATCCTCTCTCTACTTGCAGTGGTACAGCAAAAGCCAGGGCAATGGCTTATTTTGGTGAAGGCCATGGGCCCATCCATCTCGACAACATAGAATGCAGTGGCACAGAGCACACCCTGGGGCAATGTGTCAGGCCTGACACCGGGATTCACAGCTGCTGGCACAGTGAGGATGCTGGTGTGATTTGTGACTATGTGGAAGAGAAGGTCCAAGATATCAGGAGAACAGGTGACATGCCCATTTCTTCTATACAGAAAACTGGAGCTCCAATTGTAGGATCTCTACACGCTTTTATGCTTTTTCCCTGTAGTTCTTCTCTTTGGCTGAAACTTTACCTACAAAATAAGCATGTCCTGTCCTGCACCTCCTACTTTTTCCTTGTTTTCATTGTCTCTTCTTAGGAGCACAGGGTGCTCCAGACTAGTCTGAGGAGCTCCACCCATGTCAGGCCTTTGAGCCTGCAGAACTTCCCTGCAGCCAAGTCACCATACCTTTCTTTAGAGCAGTAACCATGAGCAAACTTTGGGGTTTAGAGTACTGAGGAAATAGCTGTAGAGGTCCCATTCCTGGCATAAGACTACACATACTGCAGGTAAGGACCTCCACCAAAACTGAGGAAATCTATGGGATCAAATCTTCTATGAATTCCATATGTACAACACAATGCAGTCAACTGCCATGAGGATTAATGCCCTCAGGGAAGGCAAATGGTATTTGGCTCTATGAAAGCAATTGTTGATACTTAAGCTGAAAGTATCTACCCAACTGCTCTAACTTTGCTGTGCAGATCCAGAGTCTGGTGTGTGTGGGATGCGTCTGCTTCACCGTCGCAAGAAAAGAATCATAGGTGGAAACAAGTCTCTGAGGTACTACCCTGTAATTGCTGGGAAAGCCAGAACTGGTTCCAGCTTTCCTACAGGCTCTGGAAATAGCCTGGCAAATGCTGAGTACATTAACACATTTTCACTGGTGATTTTTGAACTTGATTTGAACCAGTGGGCCTATCTAGGGAAGAATTCACACCAGCTGAGCCCGAATGGGACAGAGCAGATGGGAAAAGAGGAAAACAGCTCCCATGTGTCCCCACGTGACACCTCTTATTCCTCTGTTTCTTCTTCAGAGGCGGTTGGCCATGGCAGGCCTCACTACGGTTGAAGGGTTTTCGTCGAGATACTCGTTTATTGTGCGGAGCAACACTGATCAGCAGCTGCTGGGTAGTGACTGCAGCCCACTGCTTCAAAAGGTGTGTTTGAATGAGGAGCCCCGAGGGACGCTCAATGATGAACAAGATAACCTTATACAAGGTTATCCTCCCAGCCCAGTGGAACCACATGAGCAAAGTTTCTAAACCAAGACCTTCAGGTTATGATGTGTGTGATCTTGGAGCACTTACAGGGAAGAGACAATATAGGTTTGGTTTATCCTTCACTATTTACACCTGCCCTCTTAACTTTGAGGCTTTACAACTTAAAGGGAACCAGCATTTTGCCATTCTACAGTGCTTTTATCAATTTGTGAGGAGGTGGTTCAGTCTCACAGCAACTGAGACTTGTGTGAGTCTGTTTCCCCCTTAGTAGGAGTATCAAGATCTTGAATCTCTTTTTTCCAGGTTTGGTGTTGATGTGCGGCACTACCTGCTGCGGGTGGGCGATTACCACACAGGCGTGAAGGATGAGTTTGAGAGGGAGCTGCCCGTGGAGCGGATTGTCCTCCACAGGAACTACTGGGCCGGCAGCAATGATAATGACATAGCCCTGGTCCGGATGCAGGGCAGAGAGGGGCACTGTCTCTCCCTCAATCGCCACGTTCTGCCTGTCTGCCTGCCCAACAGGAAAGAGAAGTCTGACATCAACAGGCAAGCCTGCATCATCTCTGGCTGGGGAGACACAGGTGAGTGACGGGGCTTTGAGGGGCAAGAAAGGTGGGGGAGCCTGGGTTCAGAAGCCTACATGGGCCATTAATTTATGTCTGCACAACTCAAGGCCATGTTCTTAATGCTCCTATTGTCTGTGCCAGTGCATGGTGTTAGGGAGCGGGGAGGTGAGGTGATTTTTGTGTCATTGTGTTTTCTTCTGACATTGAGGCTTCTTCAGCCTGCCGATGGTGGAAGTTTTGGTTGCTATAGCATGCCTCTGAAGCTGTGGGAGAGAACAATGCTGCCATTTGGCCATAGTCCCCTCTTTCTTCCCCTTTCTACACACGTTTGCCCGCAGCAGACCCCTTAGGCAGCAGCCTGTGCAGAGCTGGTGTACAAAGCCTATGGGAGGGCCCCATGTTTCCATGACCTCCTGCCTTCTTCGTGATACTGTAGTAGTGAAGTGGGGGCTTAGAGGTGGAAGGAATCTCTCTCAGACTACCTTGCTTGATCTCCCTGGATATTGTTGCAGGGACAGCTGGGCTCTGAGGCTGGTTTCTGCACTAGGTTCGAGACAGCCTGTACCTGTCCTTTTGCAGCACATTGCTATGGAGCTTCCTAGGTAAAAGGGAGCAGGAAATATTCTAGAAAGTATTCATTATTAAATACTTAACTCTCTCAAGGTGATGTTTTAAATTGCTGGACTTGGTGGAGTCCTGACATGGATGCATTAGCAAGGCTTGGAGACAGCTATAAACTCTAAACAAAGCTTTATAACTGTCTGTCCAGTCCTCCCCCGATTTGAGGATCAGAGATGCAATGCAGGGCTTGGGGCAGGGAGGCCTTTCTGGGGCTGCTGTGGCTGGAGCAAAGCCATGTGTTCAGAAAGACTTGCTGCCAAAAGGCAAATAGCCCTGGGAGCTTGTCTGTTGATTTTGGACTTACCCATCCTTCCCAGCTGTTCCCCTAGCCATTACCCCAAGTGTTTAACTGCAAGTATACATTTGCCTTTGGAGTCAGTTGTGCCACATGCACGTGTCACTTTGGGGTGTCTGGGGCGGATCAAGGAGGAACTTGGCCATGTAACTTCCTTAAGCTGTACTGGGGCTTAATGGCTAGAATCCCTTCCACCCCCCAAACCCGGCTTTCCCAGTGAGAGGGGCAGTTACCTACTACCTTGTGAACTTACCATAAACCTTGGGCACAGAAAGGTCACACTCTAATATAGCATGTGAACCTTATGTTCTGAGCAAGTCTGGGGTAATAAAGAGATTTGAGCAAATAAAGACAAATCTGGCTGGCCAAAGATGACATGACCTCCCTTTGAATAATATTTGGATGCCTCTGAAACATCTTCCAAAACTTCTCTGAGGATTGAGCACTTTACAAATATTACTGCATTTATTCTCTTGAGAAAAAAACACTGTCCTGTTTTACAGAGGAGGAAATGGAGGCTCAGAGAGGTGAAACAAATTGAACGAGGTTCAAGTTACTTGTTGGCAGAACCAGGAGTAAGACATCCTTTGATCTAACCTTTTTTTCCAACCTCTTCCCCATTTCTTTGATCTTACAGCTCTTTTTTGTGGGCTGGCTTGGCAGCACTGTTTTCTGAAGCTCTGGTGGCTCAGAGATGCTGAGCTTGGCCTATTTCTGTGCCGCAGTCTTGTCATGAAATGTACAAATATCTGGTTTTGTGCGGAGCGCCAGTGCTCTAGGTCACTGCAGTTGTCTGTACGTGAATTGGTCTGGCTGGTGTGTTCCAGGGAAGTCCTACTCGAGAACTCTGCTGCAGGGGTTGGTGCCTCTTCTTCCACGGGGAGACTGTGAGGTCCGTTATGGGCAGAAGTTCACTAACCGCATGATTTGTGCTGGGAACCTCTCAGAAGACAAACGGGTGGACAGCTGCCAAGGTGACAGCGGCGGGCCACTCATGTGTCAGAGGTCAAACGGACGCTGGATCATTTTGGGGATCACTTCCTGGGGTTACGGCTGTGGTCGGAAGGACTCCCCCGGTGTGTACACAAAGGTCAGCAAATATGTACCCTGGATCAAGAAAGTGACCAAGCTAAAATGAAAATGTCTGAGCTCTAGGAACTTCAGCATATGGTCCTTTTGCCCTGCAGCAGCAGAAGGCTGTGGCTTCTAGCCTGTGACTGATGGAGAATTATTTTGTTGTTGGACACTGGGAAAAGACTTTAATGTAGAGCTGGGAGAAAACCAGCTATGGCTGATTTTTTAAAGTCTTTGGTCCATAATCTCTGAGCAGAGAAAGCAGGTGCACACTGGTAAGAATGATAAGTCTATGTTGTTCTGACTACCTGAGCACTGTAATGGAATCACACTTGTTCCTTTGCCCTGGCACACAGAAATTGTAGAAGTGGAGAGATACCTGCCTCTGTAAATCTGTTCCTGTTTTTGTATGTTTGCACAGTTGAAAAATGCTGCAAGGAGAGGTAAGATGCTTGGAAGATGGCACCAGGTGCTGGCATAGTGGAAGTCTTCAGATATTTTTTCATAACAGCTCTCTTCAGTTCCAGGAATCAGAAGTTTTGAGCTGAGCTGAGGAACAGGCCAACAGTTGGGGTTTTTTCCTTCCCTGTTATATCTCTAGGGGGAACCTTTTCTCTTCTGAATAGTAGGTCTGCTCCCATATGATCCCTTTAAAGTGGTTGTCCCTGCTAAGAGATGCCTGCCCCTCCTGCTGTAACCCTCTATCACACATTTCCAGCTGCCAGATGCTATGGTTTTATTGCTGCTTTCTCACTATGGTGGTTCTTTTGTGTTTAGGTTTGTTTTCTTTTTCCTTAAAGCAGCATCTCCTACAATTGGTTGTTGGTGTGAGAGTAAATCTTCATTTTTAAGAGACAATAGCTTTCTTGCCCTCATGATTACTACGAAGAACTTAAAATGTGACCTCAAAAGGCTGAATAGACATATTATTTTTCTTTAAATCCAAATGTAATGTTAATCTCAAACATTCAGGTGTCAAATCATGATTTAACAGCACTGCAGAGTCTTTCTCTTGATACCTTTTTCAATATAGTTATTAGCTGCCCTTTATTTGTGATGTTAGTCTTTAATATCTCTGTGTTCACAGTTCTTCCATGAAACATGGAAATACTCCTGGGGTATAGATACACCTCAAGCAAATTACTCACTCCTTGTATAAAACATAAGTGTGCTACAAAGCAGCTTCCTGCTTTCCTGAAGTGTGTCCTATTCTTGCAACCTCTGAGCTATGCTTCCTCTCTTCTCTTCTTTGCACTATTTCTCTTTTCATTCCTCTCAGTGGGAGTAAACTGGCTTAACTCGAGGGTATGCAAGCACTGCCATCAATCTGTAGTTCTCAGCCTGAACAGAAATAATGCTGAGAGAAATCAGGGGTTATTGAATACTTCAACTCCTTCCTTCCCTCTCATCCAAACAAATGAACAGTTTCCTCTTAGGCCTTATGCACTCTTGTAAGTTAATTTATTATTCTTGAGTAGGTAGAAAAATATAAAAATAGACAGAAGGGCTAAGTGCATTAACAGTTGTGCAGTGCACAGTGTCTTCTCACTGTGTATAGACAAGCCAGAGAGAAGACAGGTCTGCTCAGGAGCAGGGGCAGTAAGCTTTGATGTATAACCAAGGACCCAAACATAGAGTAATAATACAGGATGGGACACATGGAACTTGCGCCAGATGTGCATGTTTTGGGTTCACTCATGTGCTGCAGGATATGCAGTGACTGGGTCAGGCACTGGCCTGCTGTTTAGAAGGTCTGCACTCAAGGCACTAATGTATTCGGTACCTAGGTATTACCAAGGCAAGAAGAGAAGGCAGAGCATAGCCTGTGGATTAGCATGTCATATTACAGGGCATGTGGTGACAAAGTCCTAGAAATTGCCTTGGATTCAATAAGTAGCGATTGCCTAAAGGTTTAATTTGTCTTCTATAAAACAGCTTAATGTAAAAGTGCTGACCTGGCTAGGTGGCTGATTTTTGTGTTTGAAAGCTGAACTAAGCAGTTCCATTATAGGGATTATAGGATAGTTGGGCTACCAATGTTGCAAAGGACTGTTTAAAGATCCTGCTTGGAAACTTTATTTTAAAAAAAGAATTGTAGGAATCTTTAAAACATGCAATGTCAGAACCCCTGCAAACTGGCCTTTGAGACAGATCTGATCTGTTTGTGCTTTTTCTCTAGGGGCTAAATGTCTGCAGTGCAGCTTGTGCTGATAACCCTGTTTGAAGCGTGAGGCTTGATCCTTTGGCAGCACTATGCTTGGCTCCACGCTGGCTGTGTTGTCCTACAGCTGCTGGCAGAGCGTCCCTAAGACGCAAGCTGCAGACTGCTCCTTATCTCCCAGGAATTACAATGACAGGAGGACTGAGGGCAATTGTGTCACAGACCTCTGGTCCTGTGGGGGATTAAATGCCAAGTTCCACACTGGCAGCAACAGTACCTGTCTGGGAAACGTGGAGGGATTTGGCTTTTACCTTCAGCCTCCCCCAAGCCAGCATGCTACAGCAGCTCAAATGGAGTTTCTGTGCCTTGGGTGCTGTCACATCTGTAGTTTACCCTGGTTTGATCTTTCACTTTATAGCCATAACCCCAACAGGCATCAAAACACCCAAAGGATTGAAGCTATGAGGTTATTTCCCTAAGCCTGTTCATCTGGTTGCCATTCAGAAGTTAGAATAAATTACCATGTAACACGAGTGAGACGCAGGCCTGGCATTTTCTTCTGAAATTCCCATGTTATAGTTAAAAATATTTCTTTCTCCTAGATCTTGTCACCATGAAAGCTGTGAGAATCCTTGTAATTAACATCCTTTGAGTCCTGCATGAGCCAGGAGGAGGGAAGGAAGTATCCAATCTCCTTTGCCTACTTTTACACCTTACTGTACTGGTACTGTAGGCAAACCTGCCAATACTCTCCTGAATTATCCTGACCTGTTTCAGAGAACCACTGTTGCTCTTTACTGTTTAAAGTGGGACCATGGCCCAAGCCAAACTCATGTGCTTTGCCACCGAGTCTTACTGGAACTGCCTGGCTGGATGAGAGGCACTCAGCCGCCCTAGGACTGTATTTTGTACCTAATGTTGGCCAGCAGCAGATGTTTCGAAGGATAGTACGTGTGAGTTTGTAGTGAACAAGTTTTAACAACCTTTCCTTTGGGGTAATTTTGGTCTTGGCCCATTTAAATTAATTACTTGCATTAGCATTATTATCATTAAAAAATAGAAGTACAAGTACTTGGTCCTCTAGGTGTTGTACAAACACTATGCACTATCCTTCTGTGATTCTTTTTTTTCTAAAGCGTGAGAGTTTATATCCCTGTCTTTTAAAAAACTATTTAATGTAACCAGCCTTCGTCTTCCATATAAATGTTTAATTCCGTATTTAATCCAACTAAGCTCTCAGCCTCATTATTTTCTGACAATGAGAACCAAGATAATTTTATTCTCCATAGCACATAATTTCTTTTTATAGTTCCTGAATTAATTGCCTTGTGGTCTCACCTGTGAGAGGAAATAAGGGGCCTGTCTTTACATTCTCTGTTGTCCATTACTCTAGAGATAGTCTCTTTTCTAAAACTGTGGCATCTCCGTCTCTCTTCAGCCCAAACTGGCTAGGTATCTGCTAACATGCTGACTGTCTCTCTGTGTCTTCTCTTTCTGCTGGATGTTTAAGCTTTGGTAACCAGAACTGAATGCAGTTTGCTGGGGAGGTTGTGCCATCTGCTGATTATTTTCAGTATTATTTTCTATCGTAGCCAATGCTGTAAGTGATTTCAGTGCTGTATGTGTATTATGTATGTATGCTGGAGCTAGCGTTAAACTTGCTACTGTGGTCTTGGTGGCAGCCTAGCTACAACGGGATGGAGACCTGTCAAGGTTAATTCCCCTCATGTCTCAGGCAGGTGCAGCAGCTCCTCTGAGCTCAGACTAGCTGCTATAGGTACGCCTGGGGAGCGTAACGCAGCTCTGGGCAGGGAGCACCTAAATAGCTCTGTAGAGGTTTCCTTGGCTGACATACCTGTAGGGCTGATAGAGTCTGTCTTCGCAGCACTAGTCTGTTGGATAAGGCTAACACACATACACTATTTCCAGGAGTTGACAGCTCAGTCACTGCTACTGGTGGCTGCGCTGTGCCACGTGGATGCTATGAGACAACTTCCCATAGCAGTGTGGCACATGCTGGTTATGTGGGAAAGGGAACGTCACTGTGGCTGGCTGGGAGCATTGGCAGGAGTAGGAACATGGCTATGGTAAGGGTGTAAAGAGCAGCTATTAGTGTTCCAGGTATCCTTCTTTGAGGGAATACCCCAGTGCTCTACAAAGGCTGACCCTGTGCCAGTGTCTTCCTGACCTGCAGTGTCTGGACTGGCACCCTTATCAGCTCTGTCTTGACACCAGTCCAGGCTTTGGCCAGCTGAAGCTGGATTAAAGATTTATCCCTTTTCTGTAGCTGAACACTGTTCTGATGATTTCTATGAATTAGGTTCTATGCTATAATTAATCAGGCAGCTGTTTATTAACCTGGACAGGATATCGATTACCCTTGTAATCCTTGTATGCTTGTAGCAGAGAATAACAGATCAGTTTCTCAGAAGTGTTAGTGGAAGCATTGGTGAAGAACCAGGAACATGGATATTTGCTATCTCAGGGGTAAGAGAGGTGGGCGTGCCTTTTGTCTGTCTTCCTTCCTTTCTAAAGCCAATATCCCGAAGTCTCTTCACGCCCAAAAAAGCTGCAGTAATCCATCAACCAGTTGAAGACAGATTTTTATGTGTACATTCAGCAATCAGATTAAAGGTTTTGAGATATGAACTGCAACTGCACTGGTATTTAACACCATCTTGATAGACTTGCTGGGAGTTTCTTGCAGCTAAAGGGAACAGAATGGCCCCTGGTGGCAACCAGCTTGGGACCGCTCCTTGTGGAATGAGGCACTGTGACCCGGATCGATACACATCTCTTGGGCTGGTTTTTTACTTGTTCAGAAAAATATTTAATTTCCCACATCAAAAATAAAAACTCGCTTGTGTAGTAGCCCACTCAGTCCTATTAAAATCCCTTTCTACTAACCAGGGGCTGAGTATCTCTGAAATCAGTCAAGTGCCAAAACTGTCATGTCCCCTGGATCAACACCAATGGCTCACAAGGTATGCTAATAAATGGATTATACTGTGACTGTGTGGGGCTCTGTCTTATTTTTAATAAAGGAATCTGTTCCAAGGGCAGGGTTTAGGATTTTTTCAGCACTGAATTCAGCTAATTAAATTTCTGTATTAATGTCATTTTCAGAAGAGCTTTAACATGCTAAAGCGTGTTACAAAGTCAGCATCATGTTAGCTACCATTACAATGAAATGCAACAGTTCTTCAAATGCCACATTTTTGGCCGTTTGGAACAGGTAAGGGGTATCTGCAGGTCAACTCATTGCACTTAAAACTTAACAGGGTTTAATATATCAGCTTTGTAATTTGTTGTTATAGGTGATCTTTCTATACTACCTTTGAACAAACTTGTTCAGCATGATTTAGTCTCCTTTCAGTCTAGGATTCATATGTCACCACTCTAAGAATCAAAGCCAACCTCTGGAAAAGTGGAAGTGGGAGGAGGGAAATGCAGTTTGAATGAGCTACCAATGCAAGAGCATTGTTCTACTTCCCGCCACTGCTGAAATCTGCATTGCTGTATAAAAAGTTCTTTGAAAAATAGTCCAGCTCCTTGCAAAGGTCGCTGCTACTGAGTTTCCCAAGTCATTAGCATTAGACTGGGGCTTGGTGTAGCTGATGCCTGCAGACTCCAAGTATTATTTATAGTGTATAATTTTTGTGTGTACTGACTCCAGCCTGCTGTTGGGAACTGACATGCACTCACTGAAGAAAGAGCTGCTTGTGGTTAACACCTCCCTCACTTCATGTCTGCCTTTAGGGTTTTCTGCACCTACCTACATTTCCTCTCTTGCTTGTACAAAACTGGGAAGCACAGTGCAGGCATTTTAAATGGCCATCCATGTGTCAGGAGGCACTGTTTCACCAAGTCAGTTCTGCAACACTCTTCTGTAGTCACTGCCTGGGAAAGAAACAAAAGTCGAAACTGTGGTTAAGGTTACAAGTCTCATGTTTTGTATTAAAGCACTTGACTGCTGCCTTCATGTGGTGAAAAGGCTTGGGAGGAGTGTATGGATGGCATGAGTTTACTCGTTTCAGTTTGCCAGCTGTAGGATAGCTGGCTTTGGATTTTGTCACGGTCCACTCGGTGGACTCGT